GTCTCGCTCTTGCTCAGGCTGGTCTCGAACTCCTGAGCTCAAACAATCCGCCCGCCTCGGCCTCCCAGAGAGCTAGGATTACAGGCGTGAGCCGCCGCGCTTGGCCTCAGTATTTATTTTCTTTCAAAGGCTTCTAATATCTAGCTCCATCCAGTTTTAATTTCTGTCACTTCCCAGGAGAACTTTATTCCATACTGTTAAAATGACAGCAACAATGACAACACAACACTAATAGTATCACTTATGTGTCAGGCACTATGCTAAATGCATTACGTGCATTTATCATTCTTCCCACTTCAGAGAACTGTAGACTCCAAGATCACATAGTTAGTGACAGAATTGGGCCTTCATTCTCTAGAATCTTTACTTTTTAATTCTTTTGCAATTCTGCCTTCAGAGAAGACTCTTAACCCTAGGGAGAGGTCCACGGATGGGCTTAAGAGGGCTTGAGAGGGTCCCTAAACCCTTGGAAACTATATATAAAAAATGTTTAAGTGCCTATATTGTTTTCTGATGAAACACTCCTTGGTTTTAATTAGAATGTCAGAGTGTTCTTTATAAATCACCCCCCAAAACTTAAGAACCATTCTGAAATATCCATCTATCCCCCCAAATCAGTATTAAACATCAAACATGTACATGGTCATGACCCTCATCCCTTTGATCACACTTGTCTTCTCAACTAGAGTAACACTACCCCTCCACGCCTCTCATTTAACTCTACCTGTCCTATTCCTACCTGAGGTCCAGAGTCCAAATCAGGTTCTTCTATGAAGTCCTGCTTACTCTTCCTATCCAAATCTGAGTTCTTTTGAGTAATGTATTCCTCATTTTTGCACTATACTGCTTTATGCTACCATCTAATACTTATATATGTCATATCTCCCTAAAGAGCTTTTATAATTTCTGTATTGCTTTTGTATTCTATTATAGCTCAAAGTCTTGCATAATGCCCAGAAGAGATGCACAAAATATATAGCTAAAGTGAAATAAACTATGCTTGGAAAGTCGTTGGTACTTATTTCAATTTCAATTTATTTCTCTAATGAATGAATTATGCTTCCCCCATAAACAACATAATGCCAGTGGGGGGAAAGTATTATTATATTATGACCTTTTGACTGTTAATTGTTCATTTGAACCTTTAACATATTTAGGTTTAATTATATAACTTTTGTTGGTACAGAACATGCATTTCAATAATTTTTTAATATTTCCAAATGTTTTAGTACAGTATGATGTGAACTTTTAACACTTTATTGCTTGTTTATAGCCCATGATGAAGCAAAATATTAACACTAATAGTATACTTAACCCAATGAGACTTCATAGATGCCAAGCACTGTTCTGGACCTCACAGGTTCGCTTTCCTTTAATACCGACAACCCTAAAAGTAGGTACTATTACAGAGAGGTAAAGTACTTGCCAAAGATCATGTAACACGTTGGTAGAGCCAGGATTTTAATGCAGGGAGACTGACTCTGGAGCCTAGCTCTGGGCGTTTATGTACATGTATATGCTGTAACCAATATACTTTTACAAAAGAATTAACTAAGGATATTGGTTTATAAAAACAAAACTTAAGATGATACTGAAAATATATAAAGAACACAAACGTACCCACAAAATATTTAAGAACCAAAGAGGAGAAAAAGCCATCAACAAGCTTATTGCTTACTGTGATCTTTCCCATGCCCTGAAGAAGTGCAAACACTTGCTTGAGGGGTAACAGGCATGAGAGCTTGGCGAATTGCCTTTTCCCAGCTCTGTGCTACATCAAGTCCAACTCCAGTGGCAGCAAGAACAGGATTGTGAGAGCTGTCCCCATTGTTCTCTCCAACAAAGTATACCATCGTATCAGTGATGATTTCAAAACAGTGTGGGTTGCTGCCTTGTGAAATGTTTGTGAAATCTCGTGGTGAAGATATGCGGAGAATTTCTGAAAGTGGAATTTCCTGAAGTAAAAAATTAAGTATTGGAAAATATGAATACATCTTTATTTTTATTTTTAAATACACTACAGAATCAAAGATGTGCATTTCCACAAACGTCATTAAGACAAACACAAGTATGCAGTATATAGAACACGATCAAGTCTGACAGTGTCTGCCTTGAGTCATCTACATGTTCAGCACTGTCGGAGGCAAAGCATGGAGCTGATGACCAAGCCAATGATTCAGGCCTGTAGCACGTTATTAGGATGCAAAGGACAGGATTTAGGAGGGTAATGTGTCACTATATTAAACACCTGTCACTTCCAATTGTCATTAAATCAACTCCACAACTACTTCTCTAGGAGCTGCAGTCTGCAAGATAAAACCCCAAAGTAAGTAAGAAGCAGAAATAATGGCAGAAAAAGCAGAATCCTGAGTCAGCATGGGTTGTTTAAACACTCCACTCTGGTTCCGCCCATTGGAGTAAACTGTAACAATAATTTATGTTTAATCCACTTTCTAAGGCAAAAGCTTATTTCAAAAAAACTCCAGCAGCTCGAAGCAAGTCATTAGTTCCCATTCTCTTTTTAACTGCCCTAACTGCTACACTTACAATCTTGTTTTGTGTCAGTCTGTGACATGGCAAAAGGTGAGGCAAGCCAAGCAAGACCAAAAAGGAGATGAAGGGCCAAAATAAGCAATTGGGAACTGGAGCCTAAAGTAACGTGGAAGATGGGAGAAACACCAAATATCTCCTTGGCCTCTTCTGGACAGGCAGTGATCATGGGACTTCCTAAGCAGCCTAATCGAAATCATAGTATCCAGAAGGAAAGCAGCAGCAAGTTTATAGTCAAGCCAAAAACAAAGACACATGACAACAAAAACCAATCTTTGGTAGAAGGGCTGCTGTGGGGAGTGAAATGGAGGGATGGGGAACAGCTGCTTCAATAAGGAACCTAACAGTGACTTCTGTAAACCCTATTAGGCAAAGTCATAATAGGTACATTCAACTATAACAATTAATGAATATTACTCAAATATATTTGAAAAACATAGAATTTTTTTTTAAAAGCTGGTCAAGTGAAGCAGGTGGGACTGGAGAAGGAACAAAGGAATTTATAACTGTTGTGATCAATTAGTTGTAAATACCACTGCACTTGGACCAATCAATATTTTAATGTCTATATTTTTAAAATGTAAAATCCTTACCTTGTAATACTTTGATCCAGATTCGTTTTGAAACAATGTTAGACATTTGCTGTCAAGTCTCCAATAATGCCTCTTTCTCTGTAAAATAAAGATCACAAAGCTGTGAGGTTCAAAATCATGAGTCCTCCGAAGTACTTGTACTTTCCTTTTCATTTCCATTTGTAAATTTGTATTTTTGAATAGGTTTAAAGTTCATGAGCTTCAAAATTCTCAAAATATAAGAAGGATACATATAAAGAATCACTCCCACCATCACTCATATTCCACTCCTCACCCTTACTCCAGGCAAGCAATGTTATTAGGTTTTTGGCAATCTTTTTAGAGAATTTTATGCATACACACATAGATACATCTGTTACATATACAGACGTGTGCACACACATATAAATATATAATTTACTTGTAGGCTAAATTTCTAGAAGTTGACTTGCTGGATCAAAAGATACATGCACGTGTAATTTTGTTTGATAGTGTTCAATTATTCTATACAAGATTTGACCCAGGTTACAGTCTCATCAGTAACATGATAGTGGCTATTTACTCACACCCTCATGAATGCAATACTGCTATTAAACTTTTTGATCTTTGCTGTACCGAAAAATAAAAACTAG